GCAATGTGAGGTGACACTGTGTAACTACGGGTTCAGAAAAGCTGGCAGAATTGCATAATATTGACTGCTAAATTTGTTCTAGAAGAAGCTCCAAAGTCCCGGCGCCATATAGAGCTCTTCTTCGGTCGTGTTGGCCTTCGCTGGTTAGTTGAGGTTAATGCCTTGTTGGTGACTCAAGTTTCTAAGTGTAGCTTTCCTGGGATTTCTCTCAGTATACATCTGAAGGCCCTGTAAATATATACTATACTATATGCATCAAATTTACACAGAATGGGAGATACAGAAATAAGCCCCAGTACCCTAGGCGGCGGTCCGAACTCTCATAGATACTATTCTCAACGTAACGTGGCCACTAGTACATGTACTGTATTCCAAGCATCAACCTAAATGCTTCATTCATCCGACGACTTGTTCCCTCTTTCCTGATATAGAATATGACCAGTATACTGTCCCTGTTCATCGTGGTATATGTGAGCTGTTTGAGCCTTGTTATTTTTGAATTGTTCCTCCGTTGCAAACAAAGCTGTAGCATGCGGAGTGAGATCGGTATGGCTCGTGTGCGATGGATTCCTGCAATGGTAAGATTCTTGGAAGATAGCAACTTCTGTTGCACATGATATATAGAGTGGGCTTACTTGAGGATGGCGATAGTGAAGTGGGCTAGGTCAGGCTTCTGAGTAGCCTCTTCGATGAGGCTCAGGGTGAGATTACGCAGAGTAGGATTTCGGATTCTCTGTGTGAGCTTGACAGCATGCCGAGGAATAGGAGACATAGTCAACTAGTGGGCTCCAAGTTTCGTGTAGATAAGCGTAGTTTCAAGAGAATAGCAACGAGTAGTTATTTTTCTAGACGTAGACACAGCTTAGGAGACAAGCAGGATGTTCGTTTATATATTCTTCTTGGGATTGTGTAACTCTGCATTTGGACAGCCATGTTGCATGAGGTTTTTGTTAGATCTGACATTGTGCTCTAATCAGTGGGGTGATCTTGTGAGGATGCATAAGCGCCCGATATATATTTTGGTCGTGCACCAGCGACCAATCATTTGCCGCCGGGAAGTTACTGGGCTTTTTTTAGACCATGTTATTGGCTGTTGTATGCAGGTTGTTGCCACGTCATCATTTTCCCGGGCGCGTAGGACATCCGATCACATAATCTGGACTGATTAACTACAATGCCCAACACAATGCGCACGGAAAACTGCGGTTTTATCTAATGGCTATCCCATGCATAATTTTGACCCGTACTATCCCCTTGAGGAGCATCTCACCGCTTCGCATTACCTCCAGGACAATGTCTACCCATCCAAACAGGGTCCAGATGGACCAGCACCTCTATATTTCTACCATTGACGCTGAGCCACTTCATCGCTATCGACAAGGCGGTTACCACCCAGTCACTTTGGGGGAATGCTTGAAAGCTGGAAGGTATAAGGTGTTACATAAACTAGGGTGGGGAGGCTACTCGACAGTTTGGGCGGCAAGAGATCAAAGGTTGTACAAGCTGGTGTGACTCGCGGTAGTTCTAGCTAACTGAAAAGCTGCTTGTTTACAGGGAACAGACGTATGTTGCTGTCAAAATTTCTATTGCAGAAACTGAATATAATGGGGACACGCGAGAGCTCCAAACTTTGAAAGTGCTTGCATCTCATCATCCTCGTCCGAAACATACGGTGCCTATGCTCGATGACTTCGATCTAAAGGGCCCAAATGGATCTCATAAATGCCTAGTTTATGAGCTTCTAGGCCCCAACGTTCCAGACATAATTGATGCAAACTTTCCAGATGGGAGACTTCCTGGCAAGCTCGCCAAAACCATTGCAAAGCAATGTTTGATCGGACTCGATAGTTTGCACCAACGAAAGATTGGCCATGGAGGTAAATCACTTTGTTAGAAATACTTTGGACAGTGCTCACCTAGTATAGATCTGCACACCCGCAATTTAGCCTTCGCTATGCCTTACATAGACGATTTGACAGAAGAAAGGTTTATTGAGATGCTAGGAAAACCAGAAGTTGGCTATATCCAAAAACGCGATGGGAAATGCCTGGAAGCCGGCGTGCCCGAATATGTTGTGAAACCTGCCTCATACGGGAATCACTCTAGGAATCTGGCTCAGGATGTCAAAATAATCGACTTCGGAGAGTCATTCTTACACACTGCTCCCCCTGAAACACTGCATACACCTCTATCTCTTCGGGCACCGGAAGTTATATTTCAAAACAACTTTGATTATCGTGTTGATTTGTGGAGCATGGGCTGCATGGTGGGTGAAATCATACTCGAGTAATACATAATAACCCAAGCTAATAGGTTGGCAGCTCTTTGAACTGTTCGTGGGCCAGCCACCTTTCGACACATTCTTAATAACGCCGGCAATCCTTGTTGGCCAAATGCGAGAGATGGCAACTGATGAACTACCTGAAAGATGGCAACATGAATGGAATACGATGAACACAGGGGACGTCATGGCCACAGAAAGCACCGGGCCTAACTTGCAGGAATGGCTGGAAGAAGTATACTTTGATAGCCCGCTGAGTCCCGATCTCACACGAGAGGACATAGAGAGGCTGGGACGAATCGTTGGAAGATTATTGCATTTTGAGCCGTCTGGAAGAGCGTCAGCGAAACAAGTTCTTGACGACCCTTGGTTTGATGAGTGACCCCAGGACAAATAGTCATTACAACGTGAAGGCGCGTGTGAAATTTGTCTTCATTCAATTGAACTGTACTGTACCTAGCAATTTTCTGAGACTTCTTCGATTTTCAAGCCTGCGTGCCGAAAATGACCTCTAGCAATCTCTATTTTTGCACCGACCACATCAATACACCATCCAAGAAAGGCATCAAAGCCTTGATCGGGGTCTACTTCATAATAGCTCCAGTTGCGTTTAATAAAGGCTTTGAGCTCAGCGAAAAACTCTTCAATCGGATTCAAGTCCGGCGAGTAGGGTGGCAGATAGACCAATTTTACCCCTGCATCCACACACACCTGCGTCATCCGCTCTGAGTGATGAAACGAGGCGTTGTTCATAACCATAGGTTCGGGCCATATTCTGCAGTGCTGAAGAAGCTGCGCTATGAAGTCCTCGAACACGGTGGCATCTGTGGACCCGCGTAAGACACGCGAGAAAACGATTCCATCCTGGGAGTACGCACGCAGTATCTGATATCGCTTGTCGCGGTGAAATTGTGATACTTGCATAGGGGACACACCAAGTGGTGACCAGCCTGTGCGCCTGAACCCAACCCTTTTATCACATCCGGATTCATCTACGTAAACCAGCTGATACGACTGAAAATCCGATAGATTATGCAGATACCATTCTCGCAAATCGGCATTCCGCTCCCTCGCTTGCTGCCGAGTGCTCTTTTTAGATTAACCTTTGGCAACATGGGCTCGTCTGATGCTGGAGGTTGTGACTAGGCTGCGGAATTCTTCCCAGAGGAAAACAGCCATCTCATCGAGGTATAAACCGGGCTTTTCAGATAGGTGTTCGCAGAGGGCTTCGATCATCAGTGGCGTTACAGTCCGTTTCCGTCCTATTCGAGTTGGGGGTGCATGCACACTTCCAAATTGCCGCAAGTTTGCGCGAATATTTATAATCGTGGCCTGGCTGCATTCTGCTTCTTCAGCCATTTCAGACGTGCCAAGTGACTGGCTCTCTATCATGTCGCGGATGAGATGCAGCTTGGATGGTGGAAGTCTCGGAGCCATTTTGTGAGGTCGATTATGACGTTCTAGAGAGATAGTCGGGTGAAGATGCCTCCTACTTGAGGTGGAGCTGCGGATACTCACCAAAGATTAACCATGAGGGGGATAGAATGGTTCATGGTCTTCGGTCGGCAATTGTATTGTGAACAGTCGCCAAGTGTTCCTTGTTCGTTGGACTGCTGAATCTGGGAAGAAAGGGATAGATCCCAGGATCGGACAGGCTCCCCGAATGTAGTTCACTGGATCCCAGGAGCACTATCTCGATATCTGGGACTCTTTTAATTGATCCCGGGCCTATACTTCCCTTTCTAGGCTACATTTACATCAACCGCACCCCGCTCAGAGACACCACGCCATACCTAGCGGAGCCGAAGTCTGAGGAACAAAGTGACCAGAGGGCTTAAAGTTTGGAACTGGTGCAATTGTAGTAATGCTCCGGTTTCTGTTGTCTTGGTTGGAAATGTGACTTATAAGGACGGGAAAGTTGTGCTTCAGGGAGTTATGGCTCTAGTTCCGGCATGAGTGGTTTGTTGCTGTATAGATGATTTTAATTTCTAGAATCTGAACCCACTGAAATTTTGGATGAGTGCCATCATTTATTTGCTGGTGCAACCTTCGCTGCGATCCTATTGTTGCAGCGAGCACCACATCCTGTGATGATGGAGCAGGTAGCCCGATGGCCAAGCTTATCTTCGACTTCACAACCGCTGACTAGGTTCCAAATTGTAAACGTGGCGAATGCTAAACATACTATTACAATGGATGCGCTGATCAACTATGAGTGAGTCGGGGTAGGCACTGAACTCGCCGAGCTAGATTGTTCTGGGTGGCCTGTAATTTTATACATTCCCTCATGCTACACTGCCAGACTTCGTCTCATTAAGGAATGTATATATGACATTTGACTCAGGAGCTAAGCTATAGACGTGGCTCAGAAGGGGTTTTGATAGATCACCAGCGAATATTTCGGTGCATTGTTGTAAGAAAATGCATCAAAGTAGCAGACGCCTCATACCAGAATACAAAATGGCGACGCGAGAGGCGGCCAATTAAAAATGCGAGATAGGTGGTCATCCAATCAAATGCAGGGCTCCAGGAAGAGCATGAGGATTTCTGGGAGCCCTCTCGTTCCCAGGAGCAGGCTCCTGTCCGCATGACTATCAGTAAAAACATATATAAGGACTTGTCTCCCAACAAAAGTCTTTTTATCTTTGTCACAGTACAGTAACAAATTTCTCGTTGTTGTTTTCCAATCTTATACCCTCCCTCTGTCAGACTATTCATTATGTCTCCCAATGAATCGTCCAATTTACCAGAATCGTCAATTCATGCCCATATCTGTGATGTCTTCAGTGAAGAAAATATTTCCCGAGTCAGATTGCGGATAAACATGAAGCAGGAGTTGCTACGGATCGATCCTAAGTTGGGTGCAACTCTTTATCTTTGGCATACTGCAGCCATCTCTTTCTGGCATGAGGTCTTGACCGACGTTCAATATGCCAAACAGGTATGGTGTTAAATCTTGAAGTTACTGATCCTTAAAGCTAACTTTCTAAAGTTTCACGAGGAGTCAAGGGTTTCATACTACCGTCAAAGCGATGACAGGACATTTAATTTGGAAGTGATGGAGCACGACATGATTTCCTTCTTTGCTTCGCTGGACGTCTGTCTCATTGTTCCCTGGGGCTTTTTCTATTCCTTAAGAGCCTCTCAAAATGATCTGATGGGGCAGCTTCAACCACTAGATTGGAGTTTGGATATTGCAGCTGACGCTCTCGTGCGTGGTATCGGCAGACTCTGGGAAGTTCAATTGAAGAGAGCTCACTCCTGTCATCTTCACATCCGTGGGGGTTTGGTGAGTCAATTCTGGGTGGGTGCACAAGCAAGAAATGTTGGGGAAGCATTGGACAAGCCTCAATCAACTGCAGGGCTGTCTAATGAATCGCTCTATGATTGATTCACTTGTTCCATATTTTGCGAGAACTTGCGGTCCACATCCGGCCTTGAGCGTCTATTAATAAGCAGCCAAGCGCTGGCCAAAAATCCAATGCACGTGCCCTATATTTCTTGAATCAAACTCTAAACAAACGCATAGCCAGCCATGACACAAACTAAAGTTGATTCACCACGCACATTAGCCAAGCAGAGCAAATTCCGCTAGAGACCTCCACAATCCTCGAGGCAGGCTCATAGCGTTCAGAACCTCCGTAGTACATGTAAGAGCATGGCATACACTTGGCGGGGCTGATTGAGCGTTTTTACCGATTCAAATTCAACCTGCGGCTCTGGCCTCATCGTCGTTAATTTCTTTTTGTCTTGACGGTTCTATCGTAATTTGGTCTCAAGTAAAATTTCACTCGGCCCTTTGAGCCCACCTATGACTGTATGGCCAATAATAATTGAGATGACAGCAATTGGAATTGTGGGACTTTGTAGCTATCTCAGCAATTTTGATGCCTCAGCAAAGCAAACTAACCCAGACTGCCAGAGAAATGTACTATTGGATGCGTATTGGATGCCCCGTTTTATCCGGTCGCTCACCATGCCCCTTTTGTTCTATTGCTTGGTTTAGCTTGTTATAGTGAGTGCTCATGAAAGTGATGTGTAGTAGCACTCATAGCCGCGCGGTCCTCTTTGGTAAAAGATTCCTTGTTTGTAGCCCCGTTAGGCTGATGATCACTAGATTCGTGTAGGACATCCAGGCCTGTAGCAGTATGAGGTACATGTACGTAAGATCCTGCGAATTACGATTCAAATCATCGTATGTCCAACCCCTGATCTCACAGGAAGCAAAAAAATACAGGCTAGGCTAATCAAGATGGGCTTGACTGCGGACCCACATGGCGCATCTGGGTTCCCCTGAACGCGAGAAAGGTAACTTTCTTTTGCTTCCTCGCGCTACGTCTTGTATCTAGAGTCGACTGTATCTTTTGTTAATATGATCCTTCATTGAAAAGACACGCTCCTCATCAACAGATACGTGATACTCTCACAGCCGACCAGGAATTACTAGGATTGGAAATGGCGCCCTATTTCACATTTCTGAGGGCTTATTGAATTTTAAGGTCTTTTGCGCTATAAGCCAATTAGGGTCTGGTTTTTATTATTATCATTATTTATCAAGATAATGCGGTCGTCCGGTCGCGTTTTAGGAGAACCATACGACCTTACCCTCCGCGATGTTTTGCATGCATGGGAGAGACTGAAAATAATCTTCCACAGAAAATGAGTAAATATGACACATTCACTAGTAAATTATCGATAAAAATTTAAAGCAGTATGAGTCAAGCTTGCGAAACGCTTTCTTTACTAAACATTGGTGTAATCTGGGGTAATACGCGGGCAGTAAAATATATTTTTAGCGAATGGTTAAATTAACATCTCCGTAGATTCAAGAAAAGCCTAACAGAGAGGGGCGCTCATGATACATTCGATTTTTGCGAAAGATTTTACTATAGGATCATTGTCTCAGTCAAAGTATAGTCGAGCCCAGCAGGGCCTCCGGTCGACTTAGGTTGGGTGCCCGTGGTCGGCGATATGTGGGCCCTTACGTTGAGCGAGCCAATGGATCCACACCTTCGACTCTCCATCTCTGTTGCCCTTAGAATTAACTACACCCACGCTTGGCAGGTTTGAATCCGACCACAAACGCTCCTGTGGGCCCATATTTTGCTCTTCATTGTGCCCCCACCGCCAAACATATACATTACCACTACCGAAGTTCGTGCGGCAAGACCCGTTGCCAGCCAACGATATTTCCTCTTATGCCATCACTGAGAAGTGGTCTCACGCGAGGGCATTTGGCTGCTTGCAGAATTGTTTGCCACCTTTTCTCGCCACAAGCGGGGTGCATGCCGCAAATCGGGAGAAGTCCACCTGGCTCTGAAATACTTCCCCCTATTCCATAGATGTCTGGCCTCTGTAGAACGCGGACTTCTTTCTGGCTAGCGAAGGAGTACCGTGTCCGAACCACACTCTTCTCAAATAGTCTTCTTATAGCTCTTTTCGAAAGAAGGATGACTTCTCCAGGGCGTACAGCATCACGCACGTAAAGTACGATTTCGGGGATCTTCATTTCCCGTTTATCAGGACTCAGAAAACGGGTCTCTGGGAGGGTGACCTTGAACTTTTTCTCGTCGTAGCTATAATCTGCCCGAAGAGAACTGAATAGAAGTTTTTTTGCGTATTGAAGATCACCCTCCCAATCATTTGCCGATAGAAGAATGTGGTGGCGCCGAGAGCCCTTGTAGCTGGGTATTCCGATCATGTCCAGTGTTGGGCCAATAAGTACCGGGCAAGCCCCTAGTTCGGAAGCCTTGTTGATCCATTCATCATTCCTGAATATCGCTCTCCAAAGTATATTTTCTTGACTTTCACTGAATAGAAGGGCATCTGCCATATTCTTAGTGGAATTGGGGCTGAGCCCTTCCACTATAAGATCAAAAATTTCCCGTGGAATTTGTTTCAGGTTGGCCATTTTTGCGTCAGAAGGGAAACAATATCGGGATAAGAAATCTTGAATTTGGACGACCTTTAGTGAGCTATTTGAAAAGGATCTTTAGTAGCCAAGAGGCCGCTCTACCCTTTATACAGTGAGCCCACCGTATCCATGGCCACTTTAGGAAAGGAATTGAATCATCCAGAAGACGAAGCAAGGTTTAACTGAAGCAACTATTTGACCCCTCAATTTTTCACAAGTGAACCTCAAAAAAATCGATGCAGAAAAAACTAACCTCTTGACCAAAAGCCTTACACTGGTTATTGATGGTAGCCTGCCCTATCTTCACCACCCCTCTGCACCACGCTATATGGAATGAGCGGACATCTGGTTTTTGATGGGAAAAGAAGATGCAGCAAGATTTCTTCAGATTCATGCCCTGATGGAGAGTTACGTGCTCAATAGTTGTAAATATCAACAGGAAAGGCTGGCCTTTGAAGTGTGTTTTACTCCAGTCATTCTCGAAATCGGCTTGACCAGTAAACACTGGGACCCTCTTTTTGTCCCCACAATTCTTTAGGGTGGAATGTTCATTGAGTAGCCTGAAGTAAGTTGAGGGAGGGAACGTATTTACCTGCTCCAGCTGTTTGAATCAATCCTATGCTTCGAGCAGCCCAGGCCCCTGTTGACAAGCACGGCGACACTGCTTTTCTCTTCGACCTCCGATTAGGCCGGGCTCGGGTCTGATGACGGTAGATGCGCTTTTTGCAGAGGATTTACCTTGTGCACGTTGACCGTTCTTTCCTAGAAGGCCCGATGCCCTACAGCCTGACCATGTGGTGCCCTATGCACGAATTCAACGCACCAAGTTCTTACATCGGGGGCCGTAGTATTTTCAGATCGTTGTATAATTTTGGACGATGAGAGTGCTCGGCGGGGGATAACAGGGTACGGTTCAGATCAGGTTGATCACCAAGTATTTATGGCCAGCCTAATGCTGGCCAGGAGGCAGGGAGGTCCTGAAAGCTACATCCATCTAATAGTCTGGGATACGGGAGATGGGACAGAGCAAGAGACGCTCGCGCGATTTGGGAGTGGCTTGTGGGTGCATAGATGAGTGCCGACAATTAAAGTTTTGAAATAAGATGATGAGTGAAATCAGCGGCGACGGGGTCTAATTATCTTCTGGCAAAACAACCACCCCATTTGTGTGACTTTACAGCCATATTTAACAGCATTCCTAGGCTATTGCTGCATTGGCAAGTAACCTGACAAAAAGCATTCACCCCCAGTAACCTAATTTAAATTCCTAGTGCATAATAGAACACAATCTATTCTTCAACCCCTTCTGCAATAATCCTTGCGTTCTGAGTCAGGGTTTGTATGCTACTGTGAGCGGAAGAAATGAAGGTAAAGATTGCCCCTGAGGAATAAGTGTTACAACAGCACCATTGTTAGATGTCATAAAAAATGATTAAAGTAATTCTAGTAAGCTATCATATCCCTTCACTAGCGTTAGTCACCACCCGTATTTGGGGGTTGTTTGTGGCATTGCAAGTAGCCTAAAAGTAAACCGAAAGATCACTGACTCTAGTTGGCTCCATTATCTAACGTGAAGGCTTCCTAAGTGAAATTAATTTCCCTACGAAGCGGACCGTATCCAAAAGCAAGATCCAAACAATATGTAAGTTAAGCCAGGAACCTGGGAAACAGTCCTATAGTACGTGGCGAGGGCCCCGGGCACCTTGTGGCTGCTCCTGGGCCGAGGTCGATGGACCCTGGGAGCTTTTGCGATCCTAGGACCAGTTCTCTTTGCTCCCAGATCCATCTATCACATCAGCCAGGAGCATTCATCTTGAAATCTTTTTATCATTTCCTACTAAATGGCGACAACCTAGCTTTGATGTCATTCTTTCTCAGTTACACTAAGGCTTTCTCCTAGCAATCGGTCAAGGATATGTCTGCCTACGACGTATCTCATTCCAGACACAGAGGATTCTCGCATAGAAGGAATGAAGAGCTAAATTGCAATATTATGTATATGCTACAAAGCATCTCGCCATGTTAGCCATATAAGTATAAAAGCGTCGCTCTTCGGAGCGTATAGCACTGCAAAGTTGAATGCTATATTATCTCGCGTTCCTGAGCTCCGTTATTCCGCCTTCTTTATTGTTTCCTTCGTGTCCACCGACTACCGCCTAAATGTCTAATACACTCTGGGACCCTTTGGCTGTCTGTGAAATGGGACTTGACCCTCGGGGAGAGACCAAAACCTGCCGCGGTCGCACTGAAAAAGGTGCATCCTGCAAGAACCGAGTCAACTGGCGGGATATCAAAAAAGGCCATCAAAAGCTGATTAACCTTGCCAGTCTTCCGCTTGACTTGATGGGCTTAGAGCTCGTTCTTTGCAATATAGCAAAAGACTTTCTCTGCGCGCGGTGGCATCGCAGCCGGCAAGCTGACGATATTGCTCACCGATGGTGTCAAGCAGCCGTGCGGAACACGCCGCAAGCAGTCCCCGACCTTGACCATTCCCCTCAGCCATCCGCGGTGGGCACACCTACGCGCCTACGAAGCTCAGATACCGGGCTCTTGAATTCAAACAACACCCATCGACCGCCACTTTTGAACGAAGCGAGTCTCAACTCACCTGTCTACCCTCCCTCCGCCACAGACCCATCACCGAGTATGGGGTCCTTCGTCACTGCTGCAACACTGAGAGCAGACAATATTCCGTGGCCCATCTCGCCAGACCAGCCCGCTTTCCTATCGTGCGTCACCAACATCCGGGCTGGTGTGCAGGGCATAGAACTCCACAGCCTGGGCCGCAGTGATGAGGTATCTGATATACACTGCACCTTTTGTCTGACCGAAGACGATGAAAGTGCAAATGAGAGCGTAGTCCTACGCTGTGTGGAATGTAGAGCTTTGTCACATCTGGCTTGCATTGAAGGATGGCTGGACCAGAGGGACACGGGATTCAACGCGTCGTGTTGTGTTTGGTGAGCGCAACTACCCACAGAATTTGTGGAGAATATACTAATAGTAGGATACAGTCGCAGCGAGGGAGCTCTGGAAGCCTTTATCCGCCCTCGCAGGGGCGTGTCGACCGGCACTGGAGCATGTGCTAATGACACCACCGCAGACGTGCCTCAGACCACCAGGAATACGCAACCCAGCCATTTGGCTCCGACTGAGGAACGGTCTAGATCAGCGGCGGGGCGCCAGGGTTCAATGGCGGCGAACAATAACCGTCGGTCAGCAAGGCTGGGAGCACTACGTCGTCAGTTCCCAGAGCCTCATCAGCATGGATTCCTTCGTCGATCAGCGAGATTATCCAATTTAGGCAGCGGACAATAGTGATTTGATTACAGCGCTAGAATAGCACGATAGAGAGAAAGTTAAATTGGAGAGTTGTGCTTTATATTTACCATATTGAAAATTACAAAAGTTTCCATCTTCCTCGAAGGAGGGCGCTGCCGAGAACAAGTATACCCCGCAGGGACATCTGCGACACCAAGAGTCTCCGCAGGAGACAGCTGCGTCAATAAGTTCTCCGCAAGGAAAAATGCGTTACCAAGAGGATCCGCAGGGACATCTGCGACACCAAGCGACTCCGCAGGAGACAGCTGCGAAATCAAGCGACTCCGCAGGGACATCTGCGAAATCAAGCCCCTCTAGCAATGTGCAAGCACCTCTGCGTGGTGCTAGGGACCAGTATTCATCTCCCATGGGGACTGCAACTCCCATGGGGACTGAAGAAGCCAAGACTTGCACAGTAGATAGACTAAAGCATGAGCCATAGCAGCGCACTGGGAAATGCAATCATCACATTATCAGTTCGGTCGATTCAAAGCTCTCTCGTAGGCCATACCTAGACTCCTATTTAGTAAAGTCGCTTTACGCAATAGGTTCCTCGACATGCGCACTGATGAGCCTACTCGACGCTGTTATCTCGGGCCTGTTGAGGTGAAGTTTCGGATGGCCGAGTCTGCCAAGGCCATTCCCCTATTCGCGAATTCAATGCCAGGACCCAGTTCAGGCATGCTCTTCGTCACGGAAATTATTGAGGGGATCTGACCCGTCGTAGATCGTCCGGAGTTCAATAGTAGCGCTGAGCGCGACTTCGAGCTGATGCGATTCTTGATGGGAGTGATTCTTGATGGGAGTGATTCTTGATGGGAGTGATTCTTGATGGGAGTGATTCTTGATGGGAGTGATTCTTGATGGGAGTGATTCTTGATGGGAGTGATTCTTGATGGGAGTGATTCTTGATGGGAGTGATTCTTGATGGGAGTGATTCTTGATGGGAGTGATTCTTGATGGGAGTGATTCTTGATGGGAGTGATTCTTGATGGGAGTGATTCTTGATGGGAGTGATTCTTGATGGGAGTGATTCTTGATGGGAGTGATTCTTGATGGGAGTGATTCTTGATGGGTGTGAATCTTGATGGGTGAGTGTTGACGGGTGCGTGCTGACGTTGACTCGTCGGGTACAAACATGCGGTGAAGCGGTGAACGGCAGTACTTGGGTTCACAATGGCTGATCTGCCCTCGACCCACTTTGCGCGTCCACTCGCCATTGTCTGGGCCGCCCAAGGTATACGTCCTCGCCCAGAATTTCGTCGTAGATCGAAGATTCCTCCTTTGTGATTCCATCATAAGTACCTTCACGGAATTGACATCTCCCCATCGCTTGACACCAACAATCCCTACCTCATTATGGCACAGTTAGATCCGTCGTCTGCCGAACGTGCTCGCACGGGAACTGCGAATTGACCCTCCAGGCAGCAGCTCAGCCTCCCTCGATCTAAAGCGCTGCATATTCCAACGCGTCTACGCGGGCCGGGCACATTCCCTGTTTGCCTCAGACCCGATTCACTCTCTCTCTGCCTATCTATGTATCGTTCATGCGATCGAAGGGGACAACACGATCGGGAAATGTCTGCAACGTTCGGCTTGCTCTAAATTTGAGGCCTCTGACATCGCTGAAATTTGGAAGAATTTGCATTATTCGCTGTGTTGTGCCGCGTTGGACATCATCTCCCACACTTGAATTCTAATCAAACAACTTGAGTCCAAACAACCTGAGTCCGTACTACACATTTGATGAATCCACATTTCATGACAATAATCCCTGCAGGTGGCCTCTCTCTTGGAGCTAGTACCGATTCACTAGGCGCTCCGCATGTCTGACTGCATTAATCGCTGTTTCCTTCCCAACACACGAACAATTTCCGCGTGCCCTGATTGTACAGCAGCCTGGATGGGTGATTGACCGCAGAACTTCACATCGACAATGATGCTTTCGACCTTGATCAACCGCTTTACAACTGCTAAATGTGCCTCCCTCGCAGCATAGAACAGTGGTGGGCACATAGGTGTATTGACCTCCACGTCAGCCCGGCCTAGAAGCAGATCAACCATCTGCAAATCTCCGTGGTATGCGGCTTGACAAAGTGGCGTCCAGCCCATGTCATCATACACGTTCGGATTCAGTCTTGGTTCCGCGAGGAGCAGGCTGACACTTGCCACGTCTTTTTGCTCTATAGCGCGATGTAGAGCGCTGGATCGATACACCCCGTCGTCGTTGACATCAATGCGCTTCTCCAACAAGAATCGCAGTCGTATTCTACTATTGTTCGTCAGAGATAGAGGAGTTGATCCGTTGTTGTCTCTCGCATTGAGATCAATATTCGGGACCTCGAGCAATTGCTTGACAATACACTCGCGATCCATTTCGGCAGCAACGTGTAAAGCTGTACACCCTAGATGGGTTTTCAGGTCATGATCTTGCCCTGAAACAGCTAGCAGAAGCCGAAAGATCTCATCGCGCCCATAGTAAGCGGCTATGTGAAGGGCTGTTTCTCCAGCTGCATTCGCTGCGTTGACCTCCAACCCCGCTTGCTGTAGCAACATAACGACGGCTTTTTTATCGTCTTTTCTAATGGTGATCTGCAAAGCGGCTTCTCCATAGACATCGGACCCATTCGGGTCTGCGCCGTACGACAACAAACACTGCGCGATGTCTAGTCGCCCTAAGTGAAGTGCCAAGGATAGAGGTTTGGACATTGCAAAATCATCTACCAAATTTAAACCCCTGGCGCTCCCTGCGATACGTAGCATCGCGTTGACGATTGGCAGATGATTTTTGTAGATGGCCAGGATCAGTGGTGGTATTCCTTTGCAATCCGATCGCTTCATGTCTCCCCCGCGTCGCAGAATTTCCGTGACCAAAGTCTCATTGCCGAAGTAGACCGCGTACCAGAGAGCCGAACGACCTTTATGATCATGAGTGGCCAAGTCCGAACAATGCCACTTCAATAAACATAATCCAATTGAGCTCCGGTTTCTGGAGAGCGCGCATATCAACGGTGTCTGACCTCTGTCGTCCTTCCAATTGTAATCAACCTTGGAGGTGCTGTGAAGGATTTGCAATATTTCCAGATTTTTGGTCCGAATGGTCAAGGAACACGGGTGTTCGGTGTCTGCCATCGTGGGTATTGACGTTAACGCCGGGGTAACTCAAAATTTCTCTCACCACATGTGGACTATTATGAGAGGCTGCCCAGGTCAATGCATAGCTGCTTTCGTACTGCACATTGATCTTGTATGCCAGCGGCTGAAATACAGTATTAAGAAAACGATTTGTGGAAGCCAGCGCAACGGCATTATGTGATTGATATATCTCATCGCCGATGGCAATAAGCAGCTCAGGGGGAAGGTCACAAAGTCTCATTTCGTCTAGTCCTTTGCAGCTAAAGTAATGCTGGCTGGACAATTGTTGTCGCTCGAATGACCACTAATTCAGCGCGAATTGAAATGCAGACATAGTGAAGGGCATTGATTGTTGGACCGGCCGACCTTTTATGCTGAAATCTGGTGGGTACAGGCCAGTAGGCATAATTTGCTGTCACCCTCCCAGAGCACCCTCAGAATCCCAGGAGCGACCTCGGTACTTCTAGGATCTAAGTGGGTAGTTTTGGGATAGGGAAACGTAATCACAGCCGGGCTTCCGGCCGAAGAATGCTTCGTTCTGGGCCGATAAAGTACTGCACATCTGAGTGTGTTGCCTTCGAGCGTTTCCCATTCACTGCCTGACTGACATTGCATACGACCTAGCTTCTCACAAACCTTGCTATGGGCTGTCAACGAGCGTACACATCAAAGTGATTCCAAACCAGCTTAGTTGTTTCTATTAAATCGCTCTTACTTGTTCCTGCCAAGCCCTTCGAATTCGAATATCACCCAGAACTCGGCCGAGTATCCTCAGAAAATTAGACCTTGTTATCCAGCTGCAATTATCTGTGCAGAGTACAAGATCTTGGTAGGATACGCCCGTCCATTTGACTTTGACGTAGGTCGTTGGGGCTCGTACAAAAGACTTGCACGGCGGTTTTTCCGCTACAACTACCCCCACGATCTTCTCGATATTCGCCCGCCTATATCGGCGGTGGGTGTAACTGATCTCGTCGATATACTTGACATTTGATATCGGTTCTGGGAGTCCGACGCGTTTTGAAGTGAATCCTTGTCGCCATACATCCCCTTTTTGAAAACGTATCTGCAGGCCTCCAACGGACCCACGCGCATAATGGAAAAGAACCCTATTCCAATTTGGCACCATGTATCTACCTGGAGATACTCAGCGCTGAAGTTGACGCTGTGGGCCGCACGCAGCGTGGTATTATCCCACCCATATTTTCGGCCTTGGTGCGGTGATCCTGTTCTTGTCAAATCCACCGAGGGGACTCTTAGCGCCGGGTCAACGGTACGAGATGCCCAAGGCTCCGGCGCACTCTCAGTTCTCGGCAACTCAGAGCTTTGATGTATAGGGGTCGAAGAATGAGGCCGCGACGAGCGAATTCAAACTATATGTTCTGATAAGCTCAAAGGTTGACTCTCCGCACCACACTCTATCAGGATATTCACAAACTCTTTGCCCTGGTCGAGCGCATGCGAGAGCGCTTTACTGAGCTGATTTTGGCTGGCCCGTGGTCCAAGCTACTTCAGTAGAGAATCACTCGTCTTGCTGTTTCCCATAATGACATATTCCGGAGCCGAGAGACCAACGTTGTTCGTGGTGGTGACAGTAGCACCGCGTCTAACCAAGCATTGAATGGTCTCACCCCGTCCAGGTGACAAGTATTCATGATTGGCGTAAAGCCCAGCTGATCGTGATTATCGAAGTCTGCCCCCTGCACGAATGAGAGCATGGATAACAGTAGGAGGGGAAATGCGAACCGTATAGTCCGAAGCAATATGTTGGAAATCGTCGGAGTGATTTACAGAACGTCTTCGGTCTGGCTCTAGTGTATCTCGGAGGACGACCTCGATTGCTTCAACACATGCTGTAGCAC